AATTGATGGTATCTCTATTGGAGCTCAATAGACAAGCACAATCTTTGAAATATGTTGACAATTAAAGGGAAACTGAAACACTTCTGGACAAAAAAACGAGTTATAGGTGACTTCTGGCGTATTTTTGTCCTGTGAATCTGAATATCGCTTTCGTTTTCCCCGAAGGTGTAACTAGACGCGAGAAAACACGAAAAACCTCAGAGCAGCCGTGACGTCGTACTAGGATCTTTGGGGCGCCAAGCACGTGTCGCTCGTGTGGGTGGCGCGTGCAATTGCAAGCTTGCCAGTTGTATTTTTCCACACTGACGCCAGTTGTGGCGTCTATTTCTGACCTTTTTTCAAATTCAAGAAAAAGGTCAGAAATAAATTTTACAAATTTATTTCTGACCTTTTTACAAATTCAATTTTCCGAAACCTCCCAGCATGACGTCACGCCCCGGGAAGGAGGGGCTTCAGCTGTACTTTAGAAATTAATTTCTGCTTCTCCTTGCACCAGATTGAAAAAATAAACTCGATATTCGTGATCCTGGAGGCCATATGAAGGCGGTTTTGGTGTTCTTCCTCAAATACAGAACAGCTTCAGTTTCCCATTAAGTCTTGCAATATGCAAAATTTAAGTCGTCAGTTCCTGTCGTTTTTAATTTGACTTGCATTCTCTATTATGAATATCTCCTGTGTTAGCATTCTCGGAACCTTCATACTGAAAAGCAGCGTTTTGAGGGAACTGGGAAAAAAGGTTTTTGTTGGTCTTGTTTTGTTAACCTGTTAGTTTCCAGGTTGAAAATCTAATGACGACCATTTAGAGGCCTTGGAGTGTCAGTTGGGGAAGTTTTGCTCTTTTTTTACCCACTCATCTCTGCACCCCACCCCGTCTCGCCCCCCATTTCAGATTAATAGGATGTTGCGTGAAATAGCCATATGCCTCCGTAGAATCTGCACCTTAGCGTGGTAGCCAAACCCACAATCTCCACCTCTGTGGTGCTCTCTTTCTGTCACCTTTGAATTGCAGGCTGGTGAGGGACCCATATTTACACAAAGGAAACGCTCGCAAACTGCAGTGTTTGAACAGCACCTTGTGTGTAGCTAATATGCAAGATATTGGCTTCCCCTATTTCTCAACTAATCTGTGTGATCTGACAATTCTCTTTACAGGTGCCATACAAAGTCGCACTCGTGCAGCGTGGACGCGGTGCGGAAGTGGCTGACGGCCAGGGAGGCGGGCAAGGGCAATAGAGTTAAAAAGACGGACACTCCACTGGTGGTTCCAACCGCCTTTGACGATGAGGGACACTCTGGCTGAGGAGCTAGCTGCTATGGATGCACGAGTCACAATAAAGAATGTCACGGTAAAAAACATTTTGTATGTTCCCTTCTTGTACTACCCACAATATGCATCTGGGCGACAGATGAATGGGACATGTCGTCTTAACGAGTATACAGTAATTGCCATGAGTATACTGTATACATGGAGAAAGTCAATTGTTCACACAGAATTGTTTCTTAAAATTGCACAAATACTAAACCGGCTTTTTTCAGTTCAAGTCCGAAAAACATGTTAAAAACGGTCAGCACCTATAAAAGATATGAAAACCAATAAAATGGTTTGGACTGAGAAATTTAGCATTTCCACGTTTAAGTCAATTTGATCTACTGAGAAGTTGGTTGTTCAAAAATGCAGTAGGATGTCATTCCTGGGCTTTAAAGCCTGACACTGCTAGTATTCTGCTGGTTCTATGCTGGATACACTGAATGACGCATACGCTGGTGCTGATCCGCAATTTCGCAGGCACTGACCCGCAATTACGCTGGCACTGATCTGTTTTTACGCTGGGACTAATCCGCAATTGGACTGGCTCTGACCCGGAATCACGCTGGCACACTGATGGTTTCCTACCGTACCACCGGTTCCATGCCGGGGATCTGTGTCGGGAGCTCGCTGGGAACATCCCGTATTCCCGGCATCCCGGTTTCCCAATAAGGTCCCGGTACCGGCCGGATTCCGGCATTGGGCCCGGCCGATGTCGCCCCTTGGGGCGTTTCCGGTACTGGCCGGTATCGCTATCCCGGCAGGCCAATACCGCCCCATCCCCAACCCGGCGTGTTGTGCTACTTGGGTGACGCTGGGCTTGTCTTAGCATGTTCACAACTCCTGCTCTTTGATTGGTCCTTCGGCGTTCTTATCGGCCAATGCTGCAATGTTATTGGCTGAGGAATAATAATTAGGTGCCCTTGACTCGCCACGCTTTGCTTTTTCCAGGCTGTGCGGGACTATATGCGGAGAACAAGTCGACTGCTTCTCTCGCAGGAGTTGCGGTGACGCCAGTACAACGCGAAGCTCTGATTGGCTTTGATTTGAAGGACAGTGGGTGCATCTCGATGCTAGATGCCTCGAGGTATACACACTAATTTTTCCAATAAGCCAATAAGAGTCGGTGTTCTAACATCTTAGAAACCCCCTGTGCAAGAAGAAGCCGAACTGGCTTTCCTCACAAAAGGACACCACAAGGTGCGCACGTTCTTTATGGCGGATATTTGACGGTTGCGGTCTGAGTGTCAATAAAACATTGCGTGAATTGGAGATATTCTCGACGGTCCTCTAAAGTCTCTTCCAAGTTTTTTTTTTTTTTTTTTTTTTTATGGAAACGGCCATTATTATAAAGTTTTAGTAGATCGTTCTAATAACTCTGATAACGACAGCCGATATTCCACCTGCGCCCTTGCGCCCGCGCATCGTATCGTTTTCGGTGGTATCAGAACGCTCTACTAAAACTCTTTATGAGCGAGGTTTCACAGTGGGTACCCGGATGCATTTCCTGTTGGGTCGTTGCTCTTAGGTAATTTTTTTCTGCTAGGTTTAGCGGAAATTGTTCCCGCCAATATTAACTTGACACTTTATCCGCTTAACCGCACCGTTTTACATGACGCGCGTGACGTGACACCACGACATCATGCGACATTGTAGAATTGCACTGTGGCGTTACTCGGCGGCGTCCCGTGATGCGACGGCATGCGACGCCATGGCATGATATCGCAATGTCACGGCATGTGATGCGATTCCGTCATATGACGTCATTACGTAAGAGTGACGACTTATTGGCACGTGACGCTGTAGTGTCAAATGACGACATGTTTAGTGTGCAGTGTGATTGTATGTAGCGTGTGTACAGCAGTCTGTGCAGCGCCTCGAATTTGGCCGTAGTTTTTACAATATGTTCTATGCACCAAAATCAAAAGTATTGTGCCACCTGATTGCCCTTTTTCAGGAAAAAAAAAACTGGAAGCGTGGTGTTAATTGTACGTGAGTACAGGTTTTACAAGAAAGCATTCATTGTGTTTCAAACAAAATCATGATATCAATTCTTGTTTATTAGCTGGCAAGTCAACGCATCTTTCACTACACTTCATGTCATCATCAGGCAGTCAAATCCCTTTTCGTCTTTTTCTTTTTCAGGTGCAGTATGTGTCAACACTTCCACCGCCCTCTTATTAGATTGCGAGAGTTCGTCCGGCATGGGTCTTGCTTTTTATTCGAAGTTATTCAATTGACACAGCGTATTCTATTATGAGTTCATTTTGAAATACTGTCCTTTTCTTAAAGCCCTTCATTCTCACTCGTGGAATACTTAAAAAGTTTACAGAAATGTTTGTGGTCTCTTTCTTTCTCCTGACGTAAGCATAAATGCGGAATAGAGCAGGCACATTTCTCAGTTTACCGTACACCGATTGGAGGACATGTGGAACACATCTCACAGTTATTGCATTAACGAACACGTGGCTAACAAAGACGTACTTTTTCGTGTATATATATTGGATTGCCATACTTTAGATGAAATATCTCAGGTAACTCGTCTTAGTAATGCCCTGTGCCACGCGCCGCTTTATGGTTGTACAATGTCCTACAGAGAATAATTTGTTTTCCAATTAGGGACACATCCATGTATATAACTGCAATAGTCTAAGCTGAAAATTAACACCATAGCTTTCTCTGTAATAGACAGACCTGCGCTTTTTGCTCAAGAACAACTACCGCCAGTCGCAGTAAAAGAGGCCGACGCGGCAGGCGAAGAAAGAACAGTTCCGAAGCCAGCGCTAGATATGTAGCCGTAGCGGTCTATTCAATTATTCTTCTCCCCGGGTTCGGTGGCCTGTCCTGGCGCAGAAGGCGCAGGCTTTTGCATCATAGAAGGGGGCTGTAGATACTCAACTTGAGTTCCATAGACGTCTACAAGTGCAACCCCTGGGCGCCGCCACCTTGCCGCTGTCGTGTGTACATCGTCCGATACTTGCAAAGTCGTGCCCATGTTTGCCAAAGTTGTGCGCAAATAAAACGCTTCCTATTCACGGTGACGAGAGCAGATCTCGAAGCGCGATCGCTCGTAAACATCTATAGCCGCAAAACACGAAAACGGCCAATCGCGGCGAATTATAGATGGTTCGCTGCAAATAGCAAAATTTGGAACGACTGAAGAAAAAAAAAGTTATGTGCAGGGACATCGACTACGGCGTTTGGCTTGTTCAATTAGCCCATCGCACACTGCATTGATAAGACCTATCGTGAGTAACAGCATAAGACGCACAGTGCGCAGCTAGTCTCGGGTTTCTAATCATCGCTCCATGGCCAATGATACTGGGGCCTTGACTATAATTGTGTTCTGAGGCTCGTCATTGGCTGCAATCATTCTACCACTTGCCATGATTGGTCGGTATTTCTCTTCTGTAGGAACGTAAACTCACAGACTCTTTTTGAGAGGGGGCTTCCACCAGCGCTCTAAGCCAACACTACCTAGTGTAACCAAAGCCGCGGTGAACATCCTCCTCCACCTTTACGTAACATCATCACGCCTGGACGGCGTCAGTCAGTACCACACGAAATACCTCCGCGTGAAGTTGTGGCTTGTGGCTATCGCGCAAAATAAAGCGTAAAATCCCAACGCATTTACTGTGCCCAATCGGTTTATCCCGTTGTGATAAATGCACAAAGACGACGGGAGCTATGACGATGCAATTTTGGCGCTGCTCGATTACGCTCGATCGGCTTTATTGGATCCCAACGTCAGCTGCGGTCGGAATATTATGAAACGGAGTATACGGTGCACGATTTTTGATTATGCTAGGCGGCGTTATCCGAGCACACGTATACCAACTCACTGATGTCCACCAAGATCGCATTCGATACTGTCTGCCGCGCGCGTCGTCGCGTTCAACTTCAGTAGCGGCTGCCTCTCGGCCGGAACACTGTGCTCGGAACTGATGCGACTTCCCGCACAGTCGCCACCACCGCCATCGCCGGGACTAGTCTTTGGGTCGTGCTCTTCAAGGGAAGGGCACGAGTGTCCTCTCCTCCAGAGCGTGGTGGTGGCTTGATGAGGGGTCTGCGGCGCCGTTGTTTGCTGCCTGTGCTTCGCGTGCAGGCGTCCGACGCCGGGCTCGCTGGCCTGGTTGCGCAGGGAGCTGCAGGTGCCGCGCACCCAGCGCACGGACGGGGAGCGGCACGGGAACTGGGGCCGCTGCCGCCGGCCTTCGACTTCGCCCACGATCCAGTAGGTGCGCATGTCACCCTTGCCCTAAAAAAACCGCGAACAAAAATACGCATCGACTGGGTTGGAAAATGCTCGAAGCCAAAAAGAAAATAATGCTCCTTTTTAGAGCACAGTTCTTAGGCGCCCCTTTCCGGCTTGAGCGTCGTCAGTGTAACCGCGAGCACCCCCCCCCCCCCCCCCCCTCGAGGACCTCGGGAGAACCTCGGTTTCCTTCGGCAGGAACTCGGGTTCCTTCGAGAGGATTTCGGGAGGACCAGGGGTTCTTTCGGGGGGACCTCGGCAGGACCTCGGGTTCCTTCGGGAGGACTCCGGGGAGGATAGGGGGGGGGGGGGGTCACGTGCCCCCCCTCCACCCCAAGGTCATGTGCCGCCCCCCCCCCCCCCAGGACACGATAAAAAAATAATGCTCCTTTTTTATCGTATCTTTTTAGAATAATATTGGAAATAATAAAACACCACATCTTGTGCATCCCTTGGTAGGTCATCCGACGTTAATTTCCCAGTAAATTTATTAGGAAAGTTGGCGTCACGTAAAGTCATTTTCAGGTCCCCTTAGCGATAAAATTATTGAAGCTCTAACGGTTTCTTCGTAACGGTTTCTTCGCATAAATCAACTGGTAACTTACATTCCGGGTTAATACACATAAGAAAGAGACAGATGAATGAAGAAGCTACTAAACACGCCTGTGTTCATGCCATTCGGAAATACAGTGATGATTCATTTGTGATATACCCTTTTGAAAATTCGTTGCCGCCTGTTGGCTCACCAAATGTGTTCCACTGTCAACAAACTAAGGGCGGTCATGAAACTAGTTTATAAGGCACCGTCGATTTCGCACGTCAATGGCGGATGAAGATTCGTTCTTCAATCGCCTCATAATTTATTCTTGATTTGTTTCAATTTTGATGGTGTGAACATAAGAACTGACCAGTGCAAAGCGGCAACCCATAACCCCCTCATTAAATTCTTACCATGAAGATGGTTTAGAGCCATACTTGTGACAAGATATACATTAGGCTACACTCCGAAATGAAATGCTTACTCAGCCGTTGTATCTCATTAATGCGTTGTGTTGTACTAACGTCTCTTACGTACAAGTCTCATATATCCCATTTGAAGTATCTTCAGCCTCTTTCTTTATCAGCCTCAGAAAGATCGCCATTTGTTTGATACAAGTACAATAGACTGAGATGACCGTGTTCAAAGTTGCCGGACTGAATTCCGAAAAAAGGTCTATTATCTAATCGCTTGTGTAAAAAGTCCCGATCACCTTGATGTAGACGACGCCTCTGTCTTCAATGATGTAACCCCCTAGCTTGTCCAGCAGGACCTTGCACGCTTCGCTGCAGTGAATCTTCAAAGCTGGAACAAAAATGGAAGTGTTTTGCACACGAGCGCCGAAGACTGAAATCAGCAACCGCATGGGACCAAATACGCCCAGATGTCTTCATTCGAAGCCAAAAAAGACAAGTCCATAATACTCGGCTAGGACATCTATTATGACTTGGAAGGGATATTTATTTGCAGCTAGCTTACAGGCTGCAGAGCTGAGTGTTAAGAACAGGAAGGTAAAGGAAAGTTAATCAAAACGGCTAAAAATATACTCCAAAAATATTTTTTGTGAAAAAAATGGTAATGCGTCTCCTTGACACCAAGCCCCCTGTTTGAAATGTGTGAAGCGATGCTACGTTTTATAGGTTATAGAGCTGTTAATCTTTTAGACCTATACTTTTCGTCGACACCTAACCCACAAAGACAATGAGCTTTATGACAATGCATCTTCGAAGCTGCTTGAATGGATCCATCTGACCATATATCGTCGGCTGCGGCATGACTTAAGGTGAAACGCAGTATATTATTGCAGATCAAACAAAAGTCTATGGCTGGCCTGGGCAAAATATTTAATTTTTCAAAGCAGGGGTAAATGGTGCCTGTACAGACTCTGACTGAGGACTTCAGCTGCCCCTCCGGATTGTCAAGGAATCAATACCATTACTAAAATAAGTTTAGGTATTAATACTTTTATTAGAGCCATAGTAGGATAATTAGTGCTCGTTTTCGGCCAGTCATATACTGCATATCGACAATCGAGGTCGTTTTAAACAAGACATTTGATGGTTCTACGCTGTTTCTTGTTTCGGTTCATATATCGATCCTATATGACTAAAAACACATACGTTGTATTTTCCTGTGGTCAAACGTTAAATATATAATTTTCAGCATGACGTGAGATGTTTGCTCTCCTTGCTACGCTTTATATTCCTAAATAAAAAAAAACAATTGAAAGCCGTTTTTTTGTGTTTTATTATAGTTTTTGGACATACTGCAAATCTTTTAATTTTCTCTGCCCATATTTTTCGCGATTCTGTCACCGAGCACATAAACGAGGTCACGAAAGTTCGCGAATTACAGTGCGTCTGCATTGAAACTCTTCAGGACCAAAATTTCCGGTGACCATAAATTTCGCAATTTTTTCGATTCGCATACTTAGGGAAAATTAAAGGCTCGCGAACATTAAGGGTTTTACAGTATTTAAAAATTCGTCTCAGCAAGAGTAATCCAGCAATATTTTGAAAGAGACCGACGTAGATTACCGACTGCGCGAGTTTTTTTTACATTTTGCGCAGTAGTATAATTACCTCATAATATTTTTGAGGGTTTATGACAACTTTATCAATTTAGCAGACTTGTTACTAGCGATTTGGCAAGAGCAATACGCTATTAGTTTTACTAAATGTTGCTTCCGATTTACTCTATACTCCGCGACAACTTTTCTTGGCAATGCAGTGGAAGGTACGTCCCGCGTCCCCTCTCCCATTTTGAGTGTACGCAGGCTCTCCTCTTCTCGGAAATGGGGGAGGAGGAGAGCCTGCGTACACTCAAAATGGGAGAGGGGACGCGGGACATACCTTCGCCAGCATTTCCAAGAAAAGTTGTCGCGGAGTATAGCGGTTAACTTGCCGCCACCGTTTGCCAATTATGACGTTATATTACAGGGTGAAACAAGGAGATGCCAGGCTCTTTAAATCGACCGGATAATTCGGTTTCTTAACCTATCGCGCTACGACTTTGTGCAGCGTTGCCCACAGATGGTGCATTTTTTTTTTGTAAACTCTGCGAAGACCGAACTTACCCGAGGAAAAAGTAAAGAAAGAAAAAAGTGAAAGCCGTTTACAACTCCCTGTAACGCCGAATTGGAGCGCAGCTCTTGAGGAGCAGGAAAAAGTACTGAAGGGAGGGTAGACATCTCCTCCTCCTCCTTCCGTCATTGTTTAATATGCTCCAGGGGGGTCATCTGACCTCGGGAGGGGGTGTCGTGTGACTTTGGGGGGGAGGGGGGTCACGTGACCTCGGGGAGGGGGGCCACGTGACCTTGGGGGGTCACGTGACCTGGGGGTCACGTGACCTTGGGGAGTCACGTGACCTTGGGAGGGGTCACGCGGCCCTGGGGTGACCTGGGTGGCCACGTGACCTTGGGGTGACCTTGGGAGGGGTCACGTGACCTGGGGTCACGTGGGGGTCACCTTGGGGGACACGTGACCTTGAGGTGACCTTGGAAGGGGTCACGTGACCTTGGGGGTCATGCGACCTTGGGAGGGGTCACATGACCTCGGGGTCGCGTGACCTTGGGGGTCACATGACCTTGGGGTGACCTTGGTTACGCCGACGGCGACGGCGACGCCGCTCAAGCCGGAAACGGGCGCTTAAGAGCTGCGCTCTAAAAGGCTTAGCTGCTACGGAAACGCAGCGACGCCACCAGTCTGCAAACAACACGGCCCTCTTTCGCACGGGAGAGAAGACATGGCGCAACAAACGCCGCCAACGAACGAGCATACGGCGCCGAGAGCTGGCCTTTTTAGCAGACGATCTTTTCGACTCAAAAGCGGCGCGCGTTCCGCAGGCGGCAACAGTGCAGAAACAGAAAAGACAGGCGCGGTAACAGCAAGGAACTGGAGTTCCTTGTCTGCAAAAGGGCCGGCTCTCGGAGTCGTCTGCTCGTTCGTTGGCGGCAGTCGGCGTCGCGACCGCTTGCGCCATCTCTTGTCTCCCGTGCGAAACGGCGCCGTGTTGTTTGCAGGCCGGTGGCGTCGCTGCGTTTCCATAGCAGCTAAGCCTTTTTCTTTCTTTACTTTTTCCTCAGGTAAGTTCGCTCTTCGCAAATTTTACAAAACAAAATGCACCATCTGTGGGCAACGCTGCACAAAGTCGTAGCGCGATAGGTTAAGAAACCGAATTTTCCAGTCGATTTAAAGAGCCTGGCGTCTCCTTGTTTCACCCTGTACAATACGTGTTATTACATTACATTATGTTGTTACTATGCATAAATAACGTTATATTACAATACATGTAAGTGTGCGCGATAGAACACACACTGGCAATGTTTGCATCAAAGCTAAAAGAGCACTGCCGAGCTTTAGAGGAAACCGACAAGTGCAATACTTGAACAAAAAGCGTTTTCATACACGACACTCATGAGATCCATTGTCGATCATATAAAGTCATAAGGGACACGTACACTGAGACAAACTATGCTAAGCTTCAAACAATTAAACGATTAGCCTCCGGATTTATCTTAGCCGCGCTTATTCACCCACAAAGCTATGTGAACTCGCAAAGCTCCTAAAATTAGAATCTAGAACACAGTATGACTGCATCAATGTTTTTCCCGGATTATTTATAATCACGTAAATATAATGAAATAAGACTATTTCAATATTCACTCTTAGAAACCATCTATACATCGCCTCAGCGTGCACATTCCAAGTCCGTCTACACAAAATGATTGTTTTAAATTCAGTTTTCTTCTTGGTCATAAAATTATGGAATACGTTACCGAATGTCACTGCTTCATCAGCGTCACTAAGTTTACTTATTTAAGGCATTAAAAAAGTATTTTATATGCCACTACTTATATTCACGATATTCATTCCCACTTTGCATTATACTAGCCCCTGGTCATGTGTTTTTTTTTTTGTTGATCGCTGATGCTTAAGTCACACGCAGTTAGTGACTACTTTTTGTAAACGTGTTTTGTTACTTTTATGAGCAGCATGCTAGTTGGTACCTGCGACCTGTATAGAGTTGATTATGTATTCTTCTTCAACCCCGTATTCGCCCTAAAAAGTCTGACGGTAATAATAAAAATGACTGAATAAAACGTATGTGCAAATGGTGATGCAGCAGCGGAATCTCATTTGCGAGTTATCGAAGCCCCATATTGTCTTTTTACTAACAACGCGAGATTCTATTAACCCGAAAATATGCGATTAATAAAAAAAATGGCTTAATCACATGCAGGCGCACACGACCCGAACGAATATCGTGCAGGGATATGTTATCGGTCCTTTGATTCAAAATTTTCGAAACTTTATTAGATATGTTTTAAATTTTTAGCCACACTGCTGCACAATTCATACGAAGGCGCTCATCTGGTGTATGTCTTTAGGGCAATGAAAACAGCCTGACGACGGAGGGAGGTAGACGAACCACAGCAAGCCTGTTTTTTTTTTCCTATGTTCTTACTTTATTCATCACCGCATCTTTATTATTTTATAGAATAACAAATTTAATACGATATTTATTTAATTGATGCATGCAGCGCCAGTGGCATTATAACTGGGGAAAAACAACGACAGCAGCAGTGCACTAAAGAGTATTTGGCAATTAGAAACAGAACATATATTACATGCAAATATGTGCACACCCCAAAAAAGGCACACAACCGGACACTGTCCACTTTCGACGAAATGATCTACGATATAATGCGATACGATTATTTTTAATTTTGACGCAGTGGTGATTAATGTTAAATTTATCATATACGTTGCATACATTTGCTCACTAGGCTTGTTAATAATTAAAATACATTGGGCTTGGGGGTTTTCCGTTGTTTTTTTTTTTTTGCTTTTTATGGCGCAAAAAAAAAAAGCAAAGTTGTGTGTCCTTTTTTTTTGAGCTCTTCATTTACTATTTCCGCGCAAAAAAACGATTGTCCAATAATTGCACGGTGCGTGATGAAAGGGACACTGCCATTCATAAATGCTTTTGAAACTGTGTTTACGGTTGCGGTAGACGATCATGCGACTAATGCTATTTTTGTACTTATTTATAACTTCTGTTTATTTCATTGAGTTAGGTACACCGCAGTACAGAAGCATTACAAAGAATTTACTTTGAGCCAAAATAAGGAAGAATAAAAATTTTGTTTTTGAAGGGCAATTGATCTACTCTTACCAATTTTAAATTTAATGCAATGTCAAATCCGCTGTTCGGAAAGTCAGAAACTAATTGTTCAATCACATTTGACATGTAACACACCCAGACGTGTGATCGTTAGTTCAAAAATGCAATGGATTAGAATT